TATAAAAATGATCCAATCTTTCCATATGTTTTTTTATAAAGAGAAATGGATTAGATTTTGTTATAATTGCTATCTATATGGATGATTTGATATATATAATTGGCACTCTTGAAGAGCTCCAAAAGGCAGTTGATTGCTTAAAGAAAGAATTTGAAATGAAAAATACTGGAAGAACAAAATTTTGCCTTAGATTACAAATTGAGCACTTAGCAAATGGAGTTTTTCTTCATCAATCAACTTACATTGAAAAAATATTAAAGCAATTTTACATGGATAAAGTACATCTATTAACTACTTCAATAGTTGTAAGATCTATTGATGAGAAAAAAGATCCTTTTTACCTTCAAGAGAAAGATGAAGAATTTCTTAGTCCTAAAGTGCCATATCTTAGTACTATAGGTGCACTCATGCATCTTACCAATTCAATAAGACCTTATATTTGCTGTAAATTTATAGGTAAGATTTAGTTCTTTTCCAACAAAAATGCATTGGAGTGAAGTTAAACACTTATTTTGATATCTCTGAGAGACAATTGATATAAGATTATTTTATTTTAATGAATTTGGATAATAACTTATTGGTCATGCAGATGTAGGATTTCAATCAGATTCATATAAAGGCAGACTACAAGCTAGATATTTGTTTAGTTTTGGGAGTACAACAATATCTTGGCATTCAACAAAACAAAATTTAGTTGCTACCTCATCAAATCATGAAAAAATAATTGCAATTCATGAGACACGTAGAGAATGTGTTTGGCTAGTGATCCATCATATGTAACATCCTAAAATTTAACCCAAAATTAATTAAGCTAATCAAGGGTAAATGAGTAATTATGGAAAAATATTTAGGTATAAATAATTTTAGTTAGAAGATTATTATTAGATTTAATTTAGATTAAATCCTAAGTTATGATTTTATAGTAAATAGAAATGGTAATGATAATATTATTAAAAAAAAGAAAGAGGAAAGAAAAAGAACCTAAAAAAATTGAAAATTGAAGAGGGGGGAGGGAAGTAATTTTTGCTTTGGGTGTTGAGGTGTAAATAATGTAAAAAAAAAAGAAACATGAAATGAAGAGATGTAGCAGACAATTCGGCATGAGTAATGTATTAACAAAAGATAAAAGAAAGAGAGAGAGGTATGAACTAGCATGGGACCTACACGATTTTTTAAAAAGCCAACAAAGCCTTTTGGCTTTTCATTCTCTTCTTTCTTTTCGTTTTTGCTTCCGCACGCAGAGAGTGAGCGAAGCTGCGGTGGTAGGAGCTGATTTAGAAGGTAAAGCTTCATAATATGATACTTTAGATGAGATTTTAAGTATTCTAAGACTAGGTAAGTGTTCTAAACATTTTTTCTTTGTTGTTTTTCCCTTTGAGCTACAGATTCTGAGATTTTGCAAAATCTAGGGTTTGAAAGAGGGATGGATTTTTGATGAGTAAATCTGATTGTTGAAGTTGTTGGTAATGTAATAAATATTTTAGAATATTATTTTCTTAATAGAATTGGAATTTGAGGCATTTGAGTTTATCCCTAGATACCTATGGGTAGATTTATGGTTAAATCTGAAAATATAAATTAATTTGTTGATATTTAGATGATTATTTGAGATGAAAAATAAATTATTATGGCTATATAATAATGATTCTAGGCTTAAAATCAAGTTTGCAATTTTTGAGTATTTTTATGTGCGAATTTTTGGAATAAAAAGGAAAATTTTGATATTAGAAAATTATTTGAATAAAATTATTGTGAAGGAGACTATTAAACCTAATAGATAGGTTCAAATACATGAAATTAAATTTTAGAACTCAAAAGGCTAAGACTAAGGTCTTAAAAAATGAAATAAAATAAAATAAATACTTAGGTGTTAGAGTATGAGTGAAACTTGTGTTAATAATATTATTGACACAATGGGATATAATCAATTGTAGATTAATTTTCTTTGACACCATTCAAGCTTTGAAAAGCTTTGGAAGTGTTGTAACTTGAGAGGTAACCTTTGATCTCTCAAAGGTTAAGGTAACGGGAAAAAATCTATTTTATGCATTTATATGTTAATTAATTAATTATGTTCATGAAACAAAAGTGTATATATATATATATATCTAAATTTTGAAATGGTTGTTTGTAATGCATATGGCTTTGTTGAGACTCTATGACTTGTGACCAAGTTAATTGTGACTTGGTGTGAGTCATGAGATTGATGGTTGATGATGATGTATACACTCTTAGTTATAAGTTGTGGATTATGCATAGTGATGAATTGTATATAGCATGCTGAGTTTTATATGATGCTAATGTGGTTTTATGTGATAATATAAAAATTGATACAAGAGGCATGATTAAAATATAATGATTCTTAATGTTTCTTAAGCAAGAGAGTTGATGAGCATGTGGGATAATTGTGAATTATATATATGAGCTTTTGAAATGTATTTTCTCATGAACATGATCATATGATGGGAGTTCACCTTAGTGAAGGAGTTAGCAATTATGCAAAATTCATATGGTACTTGGCTATTAACCAATAATCCTAAGGGTTATAGCCGCTACTTACCTTGTAAGGTACTGTAGCATTGTTCCTATTAAGAGATTTGATCCAACTGGCCTACTTGAAGTTTTGGGTATGACACCTCATAGTGTGTGATTTAGGAGAAACCGTGTTCATAAGTGAGTAAGGTAACTCTAGCCAGGTAGCCCCTCACGATATGATTAAGGCCTTGGGTAGTCTCACTATATAAACGATCCCTTTTGGTTGTTGGCCCACGGATTTCATGTAAGAGGAAATAAGGGGGGATAAAAGGGAGAGATTGATCATGCATGTTATTATTATCATACCATTTGAGTAATTGATGGCTATGTTGAGAATATGATTATAATTGTGAAAATGAGAACATATAGTAATTATGCGAATAATGTATATGTGGCCATTTGTACAAACTTTGTAATTGACTTTATCCTTGAGATTATTCACATGAGTTAAATGGTAATGTGATTAATATGTTATTAATGTGATTGTTTACATGGTTACCTTGATAAATTTATTAGTCACTTGCATTCATGATTAATTATCATGCATTAGTATAACTTAGATATACCTTGGTTACTGAGTGGTTATACTCACCTCTCTCGTTTAACATATTACAAGAGCTAGCTCATCTCAGAAGAACAGAAGAAAGGAGCAATAGGCTAAGTGATAGTAATCACTTCTGTAGGCCTTTCTCTTTTATTTTGATATGTGTATTTAGTTTATGATATTGCCAACTAGGATAATATATTATTAATCCACTTGCATTATGGGTTTTGTGTTGGGGGAAATGTATTTTGGACCTTGGGGAATATGGTTTGATGCTTGTGCTATATTAATGAGCCAACATATTTGTGTAAGTGAAAATAGTTATTATCTGCTTAATTTGAGAACTTGAATGTTGTTATGATCTTCCCTTGTGTTTTTGATGTCTAAGGGTGAGCAGTTGATACTAATTATATGTGAATGAAAAGGGAAATTCATGCATATGATAGGCTATTGATGAATAGATGATATATAGAGTATGATGATTAGGTAATAGTCATTGTGATAAATGTGATTGAGACCTTGACCCCCCACTGTCAGTTATGAAAGAGTTTGAGTGACCAAGTGTTATGTTATAAACATGTATATATGTATTGTGGAGTAAGGCATAGAGAGAAAATAAAGGGGGAAGCTCTTCTCCCATGTTGATGTGTTTCCTTTATCATGCTTCTGCATATGTCTAATTGAATGATATGAGTTCTTAAAATATTTTAAAAACTTGGGATCCCTTTGTGTTGAATCATTTGTGAAAATACATGTTAAGAATTTATTTAGGTTAATCTCTTATAGGATAATTCTTTTAGGTTAGTCCTTGATTTACTATAATTAGTCTGATGATTAAGTCCTAATTTAAGACGTCATATCCAAAAGATGTGTGGTTTATTATTGGGAAAAAAAGATTCTAACAATAATATATGAAGATAATAAACCGTGTAAAGCTCAATTAAAATGAGAGAGATATAACAAAACATATTTTTCCAAAATTCTTTTTCACTCATAACCTTTTGAAGAACAATGATATAGATGGATATTGAACAAATTTGCTTATGTGATAATCTTGCATATTTGTTTACTAAGACACTGCCAACTTTAACATTTGAGAAGTTAGTATATGGTATTAGAATGTGCAGATTCAAAGACATAAAGTGATGGTATCATCAGGCAGAGTAAAGTGATGGTATCATCAAGCAGAGTAAAGTGATGTTGTTATTAAGGGAGACTATGAGGAGTAAATATCATGTTATACTCCTTTTTCATTTTCAAGATTTTGTCCTACTGAGTTTTTCTGAAACGATTTTTAATGAAACAACTTTAACTAGTGTTTAAAAATATTATGCTCTTTTTCTTTTACTAGGTTTTTATTTCGTTGGGTTTTTTCTAGTACAATTTTAATAAGACACAATATTCGTCATGGACATCTCGGGAGGAGTATTATGAATATTATATGATTATATGAGTGGATGCCAATAACTCATAATGATTAGGATTTTTCATCTCTTATAACTTCCTAATGAATAACTTAAAAGGAGTTTCTCAATGTTAATGCCTTAAAACATTCAAAAATTAGATACTATGCTATTATGTCCTTCTTTATTTATTTGTAACATTAAGGTTATGCTTTAATAATTGAAGGCTTATAAATATAAGTAATGTACAAAGAATTATGCACCCAAATGAATTAAATATACACTCTAATTTTCTCTTCCAATTTTTCTTGGCTTTCTACTCTCTTTTCTTTCTTTCTTTCTACTTATTTTCGTAACAATTTATTTAGGAAAAAAATATTTTAAAAAAACCTTTTACGTAAAGCAACGAAAGTTAAAAAAAAAGTGGTTTTGTTTACCAAGTTCCCGCGCTTATTTGGAGTCCACTGAAGAAATAACAAGGCAAATGCAGCGACTGGGATAGAGCCGAGTCATGGAAGTCTTGTGCGAAAAAGAAAAAACAAAAGTCATGGAAGTCAGCAAGGGAAGAGAAGGTGCAATTTCCTGCGAAAATGGAGTTTCCCGATGGGGCCCGTGACGACCTCAGAAAATTTGGTCGGGCAAGTCAATGAGTAGTTGTTATTGGCTTCTCGCTTCGATCATCGTCAATGAATTAGGGAAAGTGAGGATGATGAACTTAAGGAATGGAGGCTTGGATCCGCAATCGGCAGCAGAGAAAGCGGTTGCTGCGATTGGATTGGGATACGATGTTTGCAGGGACGTTCGTTTATCGGGATGCAAGGCTAGAGTCGTCGACCTTCCCAATGACCGGATAAAGGAGCTCGTCTTCCCCGACGGAGTTATTGTTCCCAACGTTTCTGCTTCCGTCAAGTGCCATCGCGGTGAAATCTTCAGAGATTCCTTCCAAGTTCTTTCCTTCCATCAGGCAACTTCCTCAACATGTTCTATAGCTTCTCAAGCTTACTTTTTTCTTTTTTTCACTTTTATAGCATTTACTACTTTTAGATAAGATAGTACCAAATTATTAATATTGTAGCAATCTGACAAAAACACAACTGTGAGTCTCTGGAGAGGGTGTATGTGCTGCTAGTTTGCATTGAAGTGGACGTATGAATATAATGTATTTATGAAGAGATAAAGAGGGAAACAAATGAATGTGAAGATATGATAACAAGTTTATTAATTAATTATGGACATTGCATGCCTTTATTTTTGGTGCAGAGAAAAGATAATACTTTTCCACCATTTAGACCAAACAGGGATAGGGACTAGTGGCTGTGGGCTCATTTACTTTTGGTTGATGGCATTGAGTTCTTACATGGATGATTCATAATAGGACCAAGGATTTTGATAGAAGTATAACATGGGGGAGATTACTCATTGAGAGGTATTAGTTAACCTATTTATACGAACGTGTCTTAAATGATCCAAAAAAAAGAATTAATGGCATATGTATCACTTGTGATTTTGAACTATTATAAGCACCCCTACTTCAAGGGTCAAATAACATTCTTTCCTGTTTTCTGGACACAAACTGTGTGTGTACTTTGGGGTTTTACCTTTATGTCCTAGCATCTGAAGGTAGGGTACACTTCATATGTTGAAGAGTGATTGTCTGTTTTGAAAATTACTGCAGTACAGATGATACTTCAGCAACAGAGGACAAATCATTTAGAATTTTATGTATTCTCAATGCGAAACACTAAAGTTTTTGAATTTTGATCTTTTAAAAAAAAAAAAAATTCAATACTTGATGAACAATACTTTAGCGGCACCAGCTGTGACACATGATTATGTTATTACTCATTTTTACATTAAGGAGAACATGGCAAAGAGGTTAGAATGGTATTTCAGCTATAAATTGCATAAGGGGTATTTTTAATATTTAAATTGGGACGTGCTCGTAATTTACCTTTGGATGACAGATTTGTAAATTTTTCTAAACCTCAGGTTATCTAAATTTAAAAAAAAAAAAAAGGAAAAATAAACCTCAAAGGAAGTAATTCACACATTTCTTCAATTTCTAACTAGATTAAGGTTCAAGTTGCTGTCAGGTAATCACTGAAGTTTTCCAATGAGAAAAAGTCATAAGCCTCTTATCTGTATTATTTTTTCTTTCAACAACTTTGTGCTTCTATCACCTTTGGTTTTTTTTGGGGTAGTATCCCTATATGATTTCAAAAAGAAAATCATTTAATTTTCTAGTCTAAACTTACATGTAGTCCTGCCTGTACAGATGTAATTTTTGAGAGATATACACTGTCAACTAACACGTATCTTATTATCTAAATTGGGTGCAATTTGAATCATGGAAATTATTCCAAACTCTCCTTGTTGCAGATGTCTGAACAATTCAACTTAGACCTATCTTTATCGGGGAAAGTTCCATCTGGTTTATTCAATGCCATGTTTGACGTGAGGAACAGTTGGAAGAAAGATGCAGCTTCCTCTAAAAGTCTTGCATTTGATGGTTGGTTCATAACTTTGTATAGTGTTGAGTTAGACAGGGCCCACGTAGAGCTCTCTGAGCATGTGAAAAACCAAGTGCCTGTTTCATGGAACCCTGCTGCCCTTGCTGAGTAAGTGCTTTTGCTTTTCTTGTTGTTATACCTTCATTCATTTCTTTGATTTCTATTAATACTATTGTTGATTTGTTACTATTTTTACTTTTGTTGTTGTTTTTGCTGTAGTAAAACATCATTTGAATAATAGATCACTGCAATTTGGGGAGGGGAATATTGTCATGGGAAAAAAAATGATTCGACCATAGAAATATCTTGTGTCTGAGCAATCATGGAAATGCAGTTTGACACTTGAACATGAAATTCCAGTCAATGGACCTGCAAACTGATGAGGTTCACTTTCAATATCTAACTGTAATATTTGACCTTGTATTACATGAAAGTCAATGAACTATTATTTTCAATCCATCATTCGAACTGAATTATTTTTAAAAAAATATAATTCTATGGCTCTTTCTGATTGAAAATCCTTATTTTATCTTTCTATATTTCATGTATTTAGTTTCCTTTGACCTAAATGGTGCACTGAATAACATAACTCTTCAGGTTCATTGAGAAATATGGTACCCATATTGTTGTTGGGGTGAAGATGGGAAATAAGGATGCCGTTCTTGTGAAGCAGTTCAGAAGATCACATCTTCAACCCACTGAAGTGCAGAAATTACTTAAGAAAGAAGCTGATAAGAGGTTTTCTGAGGATGAGAATAGATGTTCCAGTACTGATCAAACTGAAACATCAGTAACATTCAAGGTTCAGAAGAAATGCATCACCATCGTTTTTAATCATCTAAAAAGGATTATATATACTCTGGAAAAGAAAGCATCACCATGAAGCTACAGGATTGTATTTTAAATCTTTTAGTCTGTCTTGAAATAGTTGATTGTGATATCTCCCATTGATGACTTCTCCCGTTCCTCCATACCTGTAGCAGCCTAACACTTTTGCATGCTAGTTTGTTTTAGAATCTAAGACATTGATTCTGTGTGAGATTAGAATATCTTTATTTGAACTGGTAAATTCCTTTCCAAGTAAGTGACACAGAATGCAGATGTACCAAATTTTTTTAATCCATTCCCATTCTGGTTTCCTTTTCCATGTTTCTCGTTCTCATTCCTTCAAAAACCCTTAGTGCATACCAAATGGGGCTGCAGTTGTAAAATCATTTAGTGAGATGTCCTGGTCTAGAACAAAGTGTGTTCATTACTCATACCATATCTTTAGGTTATTATAGCCATATCAAATCAATTCTTTTATAGTATTGCATGAAAAACATGCTGAGATTTCCATGTAGACTTGTTAAAACTGCAAAAATGCAGTTTTTATATCTAGTATAGATCTTACCCTAAATTGGACTAGAGGATAAAAGGACGTACATCAATGCATAAATGCTGAATTTTTTTTTTTTTCCTTTTCTGTAAATGGATTTTAAAACCCTAACATGGGCATTTCTTGCAACTTTAGAACTAACGAAGAATAAAGGGACCAGATCATGTTGGTTTTCACCTTACTGTCAGAGATTTCTAGTTATTATTTGTAATTATCGTTATAATTTTATTTTTTGGCCCAAAGAATCTTATTTACTAGTTGACTCTATCATTTAGATAGAATCTTGGGATATCAATCCCTTTTGTGTTTGAATGTGCTTCCTATGCATTTATCAACTTGCCTAGGATTGTTTTCTCTGCTTGGACATAAATAGCATGTAAACTCTCTTCAACATTTAGTATAAACTTTTTTTCCATTTCATTTGTCACTTACATTTATGACTTAAACTTGTTTTATTATCTCATACAGCTTGCAATTCAGGGATGCTATTCATTTATAACTGTGTTACCAAAAACAAGTCTTAAATACAAATAGTCTATCATAACATTTATCTGAGTTTCCGCACACCTAACCTTTTCTTTGGTTTGCTCCTCTTCATGATTCAAACCCAGTATCTAATTTATTTTATCATGTCATTTGCAGTGTGATTTAGCATTATGAATTTTTGAACAATTTCATATTTTATCTTATATATGGTTTTACCCCTTTTTTCCCCTTTGGGTTTACTGATAATAACACTATGAATTTAATTTAATCACCATTAAGTCATTGTTGTGAATGGAAAGGAGAAATATGTTGATTTTTTCTTCTTATTGATTTGTTGATACTAAGACTACACTGGTATGCTATACTTGTGTGTGTGCAAAATTACGCATGCACAATTACTATATTCCATGTTGGCTAATTTTTGTGAGGATGTTATAGTTTTATATACATCTCTTTAATTTATGCAGGATGATAAAGATGAGCCGTGGAAGCTCAATGTAGCTCTTGCTGCAGCTGTTTGACAAATTGTAAAAGGTCTCTCAACCAATGAGGTTGGTATTAATTTCAACCACCATGCTTCTTCAACGTATCATGTAACCATTGTGCTGCTAACACCTTTGAATTTTGTCATTTAAATATACTTCAAACAGGATCTCATAAGCATTTCTGTTTGAAAGGGAGGTATCGTTGGTATTCACCAGCACCATAAGGAGTGGCTTTCTACTATATTACTGTCACCTGATGCCATATCAATGCTGTTTGTCCCCATTACTTCACTACTAGGTTCCAGCTCAGGCCATGGATTCCTTAGCCATGCAATGAATTTGTATCTCAGATGTGAGTATACATTTCCTTATGGCCAATTTAAATGTCCATATATAGTCTTCAATTTCATTACGAAGTTATTGTGGATATTTTCTGTGCATCATGGCAAATCTGAGGTTTTGTAACCTGTCTTGCCTAATTAACTAATGGAATATGATTAATCTTTGATTTCTTGAAGCCAATGAAACCTATTACTTGGTTTGGTGTGTACTTGAAAGGTTTCGATTTTGACTAGTTAGTAATTGTTCTGAGAAGATGGAAAATGAAATTATTGAGAATGAAGATTATAATTTTGGCATTGCATTTAATTCCATTTGATTGATCCCATATTTGAGATAGAAATGTTATTCAAGGATGGAATGCAACTGACGGAGCATTTATCCATTGACCTCCTAGCAAGCTTGCGTATAATAATTACTCATTTTCAATCCTTTAACGTTAACTTTTATATACATTAAGACCGGGTTCCTAGGAAGCATTAAACTTCACTTCATCAAGATATCATAGATTCCTTAACACAAGCAAGTAATCTCAAATAATTTCCTGCAAGATTCATTCAGAGTTGCTCTGAAACATTCAGATCAAGCCATGGAGGAGAGATTGGATGAGCCTGATATAAAATTGTGCCCTCCTGTGATGATTGTCATTAACAGTTCTTTATTGTTCTAATGCCACTAAATCTGATTTTTGATACTGAAGTTATGATAAGAATAGACTTATTTATGGATTCAAATAATGTGATTTATCTGTTGTAAGTTTTACATGAGTTTTTGTCCGATGTAGATAAACCCCATATAGAAGAACTTTGTCAATTTCTTGAATTTCAGTTGCCTCGGCAATGGTCTCCATTGTATGATGATTTGCCTCTTGAATTTCATCCTCGACATAAAAAGAACAGATCTTCATCACTCCAATTTAGTTTCTGTGGATCCAAGCTTCATGTTAACACCATAAAGGTAATTTGGTATAAATTATTAAAAGTTCGAACTGAAGGTTGTGTTAGCTTATGTTTCAAAATGGATAAACTTGTTGATGCAATGTGTCTCAACAGTTGAGTACCAAATAAATTTTAATGGTAGGCTAACTCAACCTATTTTTCCAACAAATGGGGATAGACAAGGAGATCCGTTATCTCCTTATTTGTTCATTCTTGCTACAAATGTCCTGTCTTGCCTACTAATACATGCTGAACAGAGGTGATTTTCATGGAATCAAGATATGCCAGAATTCTTATCCAGTGTCGCATCTTCTCTATGCTGATGACACCACAATTTTCTTTGAATTTAGTAAATCTGGTATGGAAGCTATCAAAATGATTTTGAATATCTTTAGTGATTGGTGGGGCTTGGAAATTAATTTTCACAAATCAAATCTGATTCTAAGCCAAAACATTCCTTCCTATCTTCAAAAGGAGGCTTTGGATCTTTTTGGTATTCAACACTCAACCTCTTTTGGCAAATACTTAGGTACTTGGATTGATGCTGGTAGAGATAAAGCCAAACTATTTGAACAGGTGATTGATTCTATTGATCGCAGGATCTCTTCTTGGAAGGCTAAACTACTTTCTCAAGCTTCTCGACTGGCTCTCATCAAGTCAGTTTTATCTGCATCTAATATTTTACATTTTGTCATGCCTTCAACTTCCTAAGTGAGTTTGTAATCTCATCGATGCTAAATTAGTAGATTTCTTCTGGGGATTCAATGACTCAAAAAGGAAAATTCATTTAACAAAAAAAGAGGTTTTGTTCAGCCCTATCAAAGCAGGTGGTTTGGGATTGAGGAGCACCAGGCACATGAATATTGCCTTGCCAAACAAATTAAACGAGTAATGTCATCTGAGGCCAATTCTCTTTTTGGTAATACTTTGAAGTTGAAGTATTTTGCTAATCCCATAGATTGCTCTATCAAACTGCCAGATAATGCTTCTTGGCATTGGAAAGGGATATATGAATCTTCTGAGTTAATTAAGAAACATATCAAATGGCAGATAGGATCGGGTGCTTCAATCTCAATTCATCATGAAAATTGGTGGCGTCCTTCCCATCCTGAACTGGCTAATGGCCTTTGGATTTCTAAGGTTTCAGATCTCATCATTTTTAATCCTAATCCATGGTGCTCGGCAAGTTGGAATGTAGACTTAGTTAAAAGCATCTATGGTGGGGATATTGCACAAGAGATTCTACAATCTCCTTTATCTTTTTGTGGTTCACCAGACAAACTTGTTTGGGGAAAAGGTGCCTAATCTGTCAAAGAAGGATTCTCTCGTCTCTCTAACAGGGATCTAGCTTTACACAATCAGAACCAAGGCTTTTGGTCATCTTTCTGGAAATTACACTTGCCTCAAAAAAATCTTCTATTTATCTGGAAAATCATTCATGGAGCAATTCCTACAGGAGATATCCTTAGAGCTCACCACCTCAATACGTCAACTCTGTGTTTTTGGATGCAACATTTCAGAGACTCTGCCTCACATTTTCTGTGACTGCCCTTTTTCAAGGGCAATTTGGTTTGGATCACTATCTATTTGTTTATCTGAAATCGCAGAACAGAGACTTGCAAACTGGATCATGCGGATGTTTGAAGCATGTTTGAAGCATTAATTAAAGCTAAGGAGATATCATTACGGGAAGCAATTTTTACTCTTATTCACTTAATTTGGAATTAGAGGAATCAAGTCCTGCATGAGGGCTCACAGGTTACTCCAGCGCAAGTGATAAATGGATTCAAGGACCAATTCTATTCTGCAAGCAGTTTGTCATTGGAACAACCCTCAGGAATTTTCAAGATTGCAAACTACACATAGTAATTCAAGTGTTTTTCTAGGGATGCGTATTGTCAATCAGAATTTGCAAGGCTCTCTTGAAAGTTCAGAGTCAAATATGCACAAATGGGAAGTACAATTTCGGAAATTTACACAGAACAGGAAGAAATTCTATGCTACAAGAATCTTTTCAGATGGAGTTCATTTACAAACCATCCTGTCTTCTAAAGCTCCCTATACCAAGTCTTGCGTCTTTGATATTGTTTGTATTAGGAGTTTGCTTTATTGGATTATCATCTTTTGGACTGGTCAAAATAGAGGCCTTTCGGATATTGGCTTATTCCATCTTCACTGGTATGGCAAGAGTTTTCATCCAGGTTCGGGACTTGTTGGAAGCGAGCTGTTATCTTAGGAGATTGAAGTTCTGCTTAATCACTTTTGCATGCAAACAATTGTGGGAATTAGATGCCCTTGGCCTCTAAAGGACTTCTTCTCTCTTCATTTTCTGAATGCTATTGTTGCTATCGTCTTAATATATATATATATATATATATAAAGCTTATGTTTCAAAAAGGAGGGGGAAATCACTGTTATATATACTCTGTCTTTGTGTTAACATCCATCATGGCAATTCCACATCCTCCACCAAGCACTGTAAATAGGTTCACGCTTGGATTGTTTGTGGTCTCATTACATGCTTGAGTTTCCTTTAGTTAGAAGATGCAACCACAAACATTCTTAAAGCCATGTTTGGTTTAATGAATGGAAGGTACTCAAGGAAAACAAGGTTGATATTTTATATAATGTCCATTATATCTGAAAACTGTGTTTTTGTGCCTAACTTTCTGCTTTCTAACTTCACAATTTGTGGGTTGACTCTGGAAATCGACCTGTAACGGGTATTCGCTTATTCTCGGAAGGCAGAAAGAGTGATCGGCTGGCTATCCATCTCCAGCATCTTTCAAATCTTCCCCAAATCCTTAAAATCTCTTGTGAACTTGGTTGTGAATATGATGATGAGCCAATTGATAAAGCCTACCTAGAACCGGTGAAGTGGAAAACATTTTCACATGTCTACACAACACCAGTATTGTGCAATAGTTCCCTTGACGATGAGCCCCCAGCCATTGTAACGAAAGGTTGGCTTGATGTCAAGCATGTGAAAAGGGAAAAAGTTCTTTTCTTGAGGCTTGGGTTTTCCCTGGTGGAATCTGCAAAAATTCACAGATCAGAATGGGATGGTTCTTCATTCCCATTTCAAAAGTCAGGGTTCTTTTCAGCATTGATGAGCACTTTGCTGACCAAGGAACTGCATCATGTTATTGAGAATGAAAAGCCTATTGAAGATAGCATAAAACCAATTATTTATAACGGTGAATCTGGTACTGAGGCACCTGTTCCAGTCAAAGCCCCAAAAATGCTCAGCTTTGCGGATACGAAGGAAAATGTTAGGGGTCCGGAAGACATGCCTGGATATTGGGTTGTCACTGGAGCCAAACTCTGTATCGAAGGAGGTATTCATCAAGGCCAATCTCCATCAAGGCCAGGTGTTCATTGTTAGCTATTATATCTGAAGATTTCAAGCATACATGAGAAGGGTAACGTCTTGTACATTTTGATACATGTATTGTGTTGTGCCTTAGTGTATCATTTATCAAGTTATGACTTCACTTTTTCTAATCAATACCTGCATGAATAAAATCTTGTATTTTTCTCTTCTATTGAGGGTGGTTTTTCTTTTCTAATTAATGCATTTTCAATACAAATGTTTTTGTATATAACATGTTTTTCTTTTTTAGTTGTGCTTCGGTGTAAAATTGTAGTAATTTTTTTTACACTGATCTGGTCACAGTTAGACCATAGGTGGACTTTCGAATCTTAAACCAATATTCTTACTGATTCAAGGACTGAGCTAGTTTTGAAAACATGGTTGGCTGCTCTTCTTATTAAGTTTTGTCCATTTCCAACTAGAGTATGACTAGTAAGAACAGTAACATCAGTTAATTCTTGTTGAGTTTGTAAATCTGGTGCCCAAGAATTTAATGTGATCCTATTAATTCTTTGCATATCTTGTGACAAATCTCATAGTCATAGCCACTAACTTTGAGAGCCATAAATGCTGAAATGGAATAATCTTATTTCATCTATTATGTACTTCAAGTTATGTTAATCGGTTTGGATGATGAAGTTCCTCCCATAAATGATGATTTGTAAGTTCTGACGATTTCACCTTGAAATCAATTCTGCCAAATTGTCTGAAGTTTATTTTCTTCATATTTTAAAAATCATGTATAAGAATTGATGATTCTGAGACCGTTATTTTGAAACAGAATATTTGTTTTGAATGACATGAATTTTTGCTTTTATTGAAACTTTAACGAAGTGTTCATGTCATCATGTATACCTCTCATTTCCTTGTTTTAGAAGAGTCTTTTATCATGTTCATATTTAATTTACGGTTGAAGATTTCACACTATCATGCTTGGCCTCAATAAAGTTTGGGTCTCAAAGAACAAAAGTAGAAAAGGTGGAATTTTTTTTTTTTTTTTCAAAAAAAAAGGGGTCATCACCACCTTTACTTGAGAGAATCAATATTAACAAAAGGTACTTGGAAATATACGTAATATATAATACAAACTGAGGATTTAGCAACACACACTGCAGCCATTTCTCACTTTTATTTCCAGAAATTTTTATCCTCAGCATAGACACGAATGCACTTCCACTCTATCCCTGCATCCAGAGTTTGGCGGGAAAAAATTAGTCAGTGAAGGTTTCTGGAAATTAAAAGGAGGATAATATTGCGGCAGATGAAAACGATCGAGTAAGGAATTTGCATGTTATGGAAAGGTTCAATGCTCTACTTAGTCTCTTCTATATTATCTCTTATGTGTTGTTTTTCAAAAATAAAATGTTGCACTATTATTATATATATATATAAGTAAAGTTAAAAGTTATGAGAAAACGCCACGTGTCTATTTTTAGGTTTACTGTAATTTTATACTTTGAGATGTCTTTTTTATGATTTTGTGTTTCGAAGTTAAGTTTAGGATTAGGTTCAAGCTAATTATTATTTTTTAATGTATATAAAATTTGTTATTTAGGTTTGGAGTTAAGTGTGGGATGACTCATTAATTTTTAGATGTATATAAAAATTATTTTTTTTCCTACTTAAAAGTCAAATCTCATTATATTTGAATTCAAATTAATATCTATCTATTTAAAGTTTTCATCTATTCTAAATATATGCCAAAAATCTAGATTTATATGATCAAGTATATATATATATATATATATATATGCAAATATATTGGAATTCAAATTTAAACTAATATTTATCTATTTAAATATTTAGAAAAAGAAATATTGTTTGAATATTTAGACCTATCCTCATATCATAATTTTAGAGAATTATAAACATGATAAAGTATAGACATTAATTTATTTAATAATTTGGATCTCATGATGTTAAATTTCACATATTATAAATTTCATAATATGGATATTAATTTATTTAACAATAAAGAATTTAGAATTGCCATTTGATATTTATGGAGAATATTGACATGTTAAATTTTGGATAATGCTAATATGTTGAAAAGGCCCTCATGAAGTTTGTTAAAATTCAAATGCATTAAATATCTATACTCACAAAAATAAATATGTAATATCTATTATCTTTGTTTTTTAAATATTACCCCTTAATTTTCCCTCCTAATTCAACCTTATTCAATTATAAATTACTAGATTAGTTTAATAACACATTTCACACATTCATGTCTATCTCACTTCTCTAATCGCATTTAGTTTATTTTCTTCTCGACTGTTATTCATACTATCAATAGTTTCTACATCTAAGATGCATGCAATTCGTATCATTAATACAATAAAAAAGAATTGGCACATTGTGGCTAGGGGGATTCATGTTTAGAGATTGTTAGGTAGAAGTATATCCGAAGAATTCAATAATGTTGAATTGATCTTTCAGGATATTTGAGTAAGTATTTATGTTTTTTTTGTTTTTTTTTAATAATTTTGATTCTATCAATTGCATCCAATATATAATACTTAATCTATTTATAAGAAAACATTACTATAAGGTGGCTAGATCTCTATAGTCATTTGGAAGCTTTTTATGAGACATTTTGGAGATAGGTTATATGTCTCTCAATGCTCCAGGTAATATCGGACAATGAATCATCCTTATAAGTTTTGCTTCATGCTCTTTATGTGAAGTTGCATTTTGAGATGGATTCCATCTATCCTTTCATCATTTTGGATTTAATTTTATTAACATTTCAGAACTTACAGATAAAAAGGTAATGAATAATAATTATTTAATTGGTATGCTATTAAATTTTTTAAATTTGTTCTTTGAAAACTCTATTTAACACGTTTAAAATAATACACTATCTAAATTCTTTATTATTAATTCAAAAACTTTAATTATAGATTGTCTAATATTATTTAATATACAAAAATTGTGTACATATATTAAAATAATCTTATTTTATATAACAAGTTATTGATTATCTTATATAATATATGGAATTAGTTTAAAATAATTAAAAAGTAAAGTAATGACAATTTTATTTAATATGTCAAGTTTTTAAAAATAATAAGTTATTTATTTAATATGTGTGACTCACTTATCAAATAAAACCAATCATTTTGAAAGAATTATTTATCCTTTCAAACCAATTTATTTGATAGTTTCGAAGTGTAAAGTTAGATTTGAAATGACATATCATTTTTTATATATTATTTATTTTATTTTAACTATATTTATCCATTTGAATTTCAAATCAAACAATTTAAAATAGAGTTATTTAATTTTTTTATTTTCATATAATAATAAAATTGAATTTTAGTTATATCTTGACTGGTGTGGCTTGAAAAATAAAATATATAAATATATAAATCTATTTATTTTAATGAATTTAAATGGATGAAGAAATTATATAAATTTGGATTTTTTATAAAATACAAAATATATTATATAATTCTAATCAATTTAAATATAAATATTAATTCTAATCAATTAATATTTTTTTAAAAATTTAAATTTTTTATTTATATTATTTATATTTTTGTTTTAGATATTACAGAATAGCGTTTTTAAATCTAATTATTTTTTAACCACGCTTTTCAAAAGTATTTTCAATTTAATTGTTTTATTTTATTTTTAAACATGAATTTTTGTTTTAAAATTAATTTTTTTGAAAAATTTATTTTATTAAGATATATTTTTAATAATTGAATTTATTTATTTATTATTATATATATAAATAGCTTTTTTTCGTTGATAGATTTTTATTTTATGTATGCAGTATTATATGGTTTTTTTTACAGTCACCAATAACAGTTTTTGGATGTAATTCTATGATTCATATCAAAATAAAAATAGATTTAGTTAAATTTTGAATACATGTTAAATTACAACTAATTAATTTCAAATCATATTAACAGTTTTAGTTATAAATACATTCCTATCAAAGTATTTTAATATGATATTTACATTTCAGATGATAGAAAGTTAGAATTTATATAGCTTATATTATATTCTAAGGTTTGTATTATTTTGATCATACTTTAAATTTTATTATTATCTTTTAGATTTTTAATTAAGGTATTTTTTAATATATATATATATATATATATTAGTATAATTAAAATTTTTTAATTTTTTAAAAATATAAAAACTATATGAACTTTTGATCTTAGCCCTAAATCCTATCAATAAAGATCAAACTTAAAAAAGAATACTTATTTCAAGAAAAGTTAATTTATGAGTTTAAATTCTTAAAAGTCAAGCTTATAAGAGTTAGGCCAACTCATATTAATGGTTTTATGTGCATTCTTACGTGATTTTATACTTAGAAAGCTAGGCTTTGTTGTTAGTTTGTAAATAGGTTCGGACTAAATTTGTATATAGGTTCGGACTAAATTTGTATATGTTTATAATTTATAAATAAACTAGAAGGGTTATCACAAAATATATATATATATATATATATGTATATATAACATATATATATATATATATTTATATATCTAAATTTAATTTAAAATATGATTTTAAATATTTACATTGATGGATTGACATTTATTTTATGTAATCACATTTTATTTTAATTAATTTGAAGATGTATTGACTTGAATTTTAAAGATGGATGCAATTTCAAATTTTAAAATTTAAAGTTTCTCATAATAATTATTTATACCAAATATAATTCAAATTTTGAAAGTTATTTTAATTATTTAAATTGACCTTATGGGTAAAATATTTTAGTGAGAAGTTGTGAGAAAGTTATTAAATTGACTAAGCAATAATTATTTTAATATACAATCATTGGAATGCCACATGTCATTTTTTGTATATTTCAAATTGTAACATGTGTCCCTTTTCAAGTACTCTAAATTAATTTATTATTTTTTAGATCTATCTAAGTTTAAAAAATATATGGTTGACAATATTTAACGTAATTTCATAGATCTCAAAAAATTCTACTTGAATTTCAAAATTTCAACTAATATAGTCATGAAGATCTATAATTTAGATAAAGAGTATCAAATTCAAATCAAATTTCCCTCCCATTTAGATATTATATCAATTACAAATAAGTGGTGTTGTCCATTATTTTTTTTTCACACTTACAGATTTAATTAAAGGTTAAAGCCTAAAGGGAACATTAATAAAAATTAACTTTGAATGTTAGTTGAATAAGAAATTATTGTAAAAGAT